GTAAGGATGTTCAAGGTAGTCCCTGGGATAATGTGTAGGTTTCTTGCATGTGAAACACTCCAGCTGCATTCCCACACGTCATTCCAGGGAGTCCATGTTCCATAAACTGCTGCACAACAATTGACACGATCACGCATGTTTATCGAGGCCAACCTGCTTCTGCTGGTGATGTAGAATAATCGAGGAAGGTATCCATGCTCTGTTAAATGCAGGCAGAAAAACTAACTTAAAGGAAGTTCTTATATTCAGTGAGCATTTTCAAAATTTAAGTTGTTCTCTTTTAAGGGAAGGAAATTACTGTTTCTTCCAACAAATTTTCTGAAAGTATTTATTTAACTTCACGATAAAGTGGAAATACCACAAAAGAGGAGAACTCAGTTTTTCTGTAATTACGACTGCTGCCCAGTTGAAGTGTGTTTCTACCAGCTTGAACATCTAGAGAGATAGTTTTTGCCCGATTGCTTTTGCCTCAGTCATATTGAATGACGAGCATTGCAAAAATCAAAGATTGCCTAGAATTCTCAATTGGATTCAGGTCTGGGCTTTGACTAGAGCAGCGGTCACCAACCTTTTTACAGCTGAGGGCTAATTCAGGGGCACTGAGTCACAGGAAGGGCTACCAATACTGACCTATGAATGGCAAGGGTCAACGTTCACCTAAACTTCATTCATTATAAACATATATTTATCGTTTCTTTAAATTTATAATTTTCTTTTTGACATTTTCATTTTGAAATCTCTATAAATGCTTAAATGCCATATATGATTAAATGATGAAATGTTCTATAACCCTATTAAAAACAGAAGAGCAACAGAATACAGTGAAATTTCAAACGTAGCTCACTGTTGAGTTGTTCTATTTTCAGAAGACTCTAAGGGCACCCCTTGTGGTCCTTGAGGGCCCCTTGGTGCCCGCGGGCACCATGTTGGACTAGACCCTTATAACAGATGAAACGTGGATCTAAAACGTTCCTATAAAACCTTTCTACAACACAGTTTAATTTTTATGACAAAAACATCAACTTAGGTCTAATTTAAGTGGCCTAGCTCCAATTTTTTAATGTGTCCTTATAAAAGCTTGTTAGTGAAAATGGGACTATATATTATATGGATTTCTTTTTCCATTTTTAATAAAGGACAGATTTTTGTGGAGCAAATTGTCCTGTAATAATTCCTCCTTAAAACGTGGTTTCTGCTTCAGCACAACTGAGTCGAATAATCAGCAGCATTAGCAGGACCCTGAAAAACTTGGCTGAATCCTAATACATCAGATTGTAGCTCCTATCCCCTCACCTATCGCAGGGTCGACAATAAGAACTCTATCCAGGGTCGGAAAGGAGCTTTGCTCTGCAGTGCTAAATCTGAACAGTGGACATGAACAAGTGATGTTGGTCAAATCGGTACTACAACCGTCTGGAAAAGAACTACAAAAACGTACAGGAACACAGTGAATGGCTTAAGTTGGCTGGTATAAAACCCAAAACATATGAAGGTGAGGAAATTAGCATGTGTCGTGCAAAGTACCTCTCAAATAAAAATATATTTTTTAACAGCATTGGTTTTAGGAAGCATCCTGCTTCTTTGTCCTAGCTCCTTTCTAACCGTCAGCACTATTCAAATAGCACCTATGGCAATCATTATTTGACATATTTGGATTGACTGAGGTGTGTGGAAGCAGAGACGCACCTGAAAGGTGAAGGACACTGAACCTGGAGGACTGAAACTAAAGGCCTCTATACCCTGGTGGAGTCTGGATGATTTTCTTTGTTTTAAATACCAAATATTTCAATTTTTAGTTGTGAAATAATTAGAAACTGTGAAGACCTTCTCTATTTTTGCAAAGCACTTGGATGGAACAAAAGAAAACAGCACTCTGAGTAACCTCTACATAGATAAGCCCTTTTTGGCGACCAACTGATATGGTGCGGCCAACAGCGCTGTGTTGGGGAGGCACCTCTTCCTGCATTCTTCAGAGGCCCTAAGACAGGTGATCCTGCTACAGGGCACCATGCTCCATATAATATCATGTTTGTGTCATAACCACAAGTCCCTTTGTGTGTCACAGTCATACATTTAGAAATGCAGTGTGGGGTTGAGGAGGAGGAAAAAGCCGACCGTGTCCCCGTGTCCCTCAGCACCTGTCCCTACTGTTTCAAACGGCTGTAGCCATGGATCCAACTCCCCTCTAACAATAAACACAAGTGACATTTACATTTCAAGGGAAAGCAACACTACTATTTGATGACAATTTGAATACATGAACAATAAAAAGTTTTTAGGTGCATCTCAGGAAGTTAGAATATAACTGCATAGGAACGATTGTGACTGAACTTTGCTGAAATTTTAATGCGTATTTTAGACATTTCTAGAGCTACACTTGTTTTTCCTAATATGCTAATGTTTTGTATTTGATATTTCACAATTAAATTCCTTTAAAATGACAACTATTGCTGCATTCAAGTGTAGTAGGAAGAAATTTGCACAAGAAACAGGGATAGCAATAGCCTGAGATTAAAGGGGAATGTTGTTGTTTTTTTTACATTGGGCCCTTGATTTTGCGTTATTACATCATGTTCTACTCACCCATATGAGCCTTTCTGAAGATATTCCGTTAGGTTATATCCAAGTAACGTCTTCCTATGGGCAACGACTTGAAGGCACAAACTAAACTGTCGATAAAGTGTTCTTTATGGTATGCCAGCATTCATAACATGTAGGCAAATCACTGTCTCCCAGACGTCCGCGGTTATATTTTTTATATTTTTTAAAAACAAAGCACAGTGTGTATGATGTCATCCGCGTGCTGGACTGGAGTTGTGACAGGCAGCCCAGACCACAGGCGGCTACGCTCTACCCCTTCTATTCATTTGGCTAGCTAATCTGAATCGTTCAATTCCATTTAGAGAGGGAGATCATCTGTGGTAGTAGCACTAGACATCTTCCAGGCACGTGAGTAAAACTAGCAGCAGTTCAGCGGACAGGATGAAGGAATGGTAGCCGGCGTTGCCCAAAGGAAGATGTTACTTGGATATAACCTAACCAAATATTTTCAGAACAGCTCCAAATTACACAAAACTCAAATGGGTGAGTAGAACATGATGTAATAATGTAAAATCAAGGGCCCAATGTAAAAAAACGGTGTTCCCCTTTAAGATGACTGTGAAGCAACACTCATCCAGGGTAGAGTCTATGCCTCAAGAGTCACCATAGATGACCACAGGACATGCCTTGTTTTACGATACCACACAGTCAGAGACAAGAGCTGAATTTTTGATGATCTTTTTAGGACTAATAAGAAATAAGATGGCTTCAGTGTTGCAGCTTTGAGAGGACTGTAAAGCAAATTCCATTTAGGTTAAATCTGGTAGAGCTTCACAAAGAGTGGATTGTAACTGGACTCTGCGCACCAAGAGCCAATGTGCACAGATAAATCCTATGCATGGGCTACAAGCCTCTCTTAGACTAAGGAGAGAGAGGCTTGTAGCCCATGCATAGGATTCATCTGTGTATGGGCATAAATTAGCGGACTGTTCCTCTGTGGTTCAAAATCCTCTTTTAAGGCCATTAACTTTTTTTTTATTATTATTTTTTGTTTTTGTTTCACATAAGCAAAATTTGTCTGCATTTTACCCATCCCAAAGGGAGCGGTTAGTTGCCATAGTGCAACGCTTGGGGACCATTGTGGGACCAAGGGTCTCGCTCAGGGACCCTGAAGGGCCTATTGGATTCAAACCAGATATCTTGCAGCAAGAAATGTACGCTAACCTCTCCCAATGGATGGAATGTGTACATTTTATTTGCAAAAATAAGAGTCAGAAAGTCTGAAAAAAGAGTGCAGTTGCACATTGTTCAAGTCCAGTGTGAAGTTCTCACAGTCAGTGGTGATGTGGAAAACCTCACTGGCTGCCGTTGCTCCGCTTTGTTTTTATCAAGTTCTTTGTAGCCCATCATGCTTCCGTTTCCTTCAAACCATTATATTTCCATGCTTTTAACACTTGTCCATGTTTTAAAATGCACTATTGCCTGTCTTTATGACCAAAGTAGCATCATGCTTGACCAACACCTCACAGGATTTATAGAGAATTGTGAAGAGAAAGAAAAGGGACTCCAGACCCAACAATGCAGAGCAGCTAAAGGCCACTGTTAAAGCAATGGGCTTCAATCAAACCTCAACTGGGCAACAGCTGATTATTTCCATGCCAGAATCCTGTGATGAAATTAATTCACACAAAAAATGGCCCTTAATAAGCACTAACCATATAGACTCAGTGTAGAATAATAAAAATAGAAAAATGTTTAACTTTATTCGTCTCACAAGGGAGAATTTAACTATCTCGAGTTAAGGGTCTTGCTCAGGGACCCACAGTGAGGGCTGTTGGGACCGAACCGCGTACTTGCAACCTTCTCAGAGCACAAGCGCACTGCTCTACCACCAGGCCAGCACTCCCCTGCATATGCTAATACCTTAAAGTAGGTAAAATTTCCAACCAATAAAAAGAAAAAAATAAATTCTGGAGCTGAGTGACTGAATGTGAGGTTTTCCTTCCACTCAACTTCCCATTAATAAGCTCTGTTAACAGACAGCATGTTTAGCACTAACTCTTTCTTGCATTTGCCATCTATAATGGAGCAGAGTGCCCCATGTGTTGACCATGCATAAAGTTTATATATTGAAAATATTATTTTCTGCTGGTCTTCTTCATATATTAAATTATCCAAACCTGTATAATGAAATGAATCTATACAATTCTGATTATAATCAATCTATAAAATAAATATACTCTCTTTTCGATTATATTTTATTTATTTGAGATACCCTTGTATATTGCAAGACAAGATGAAAATCAAACAAAAAATATCCAACTTTTAGAACTGTGTAAGGATCAGTTTATCTTCCTAAGCGAGAAATCTAGAAGTGTCTGTTGGTCAATCCGCTGCGCGCCTCTCTATCTTCCACACTTCAGATCAAACCACAGGAAAAAGAGCCCAGCTTCATCGTTCATAAACCGGATTCAGACACCTTTCGGCGTTTTTTTGCCTATCCTGTTTCTTTTTTCCTTTCTCACATGCGTTTTCCTGTCATCACCCTGATGTGCGCGCTCCACCCCGCCTGCCGGACGCAGAGGAGCGCTGGAGCGGAGAGGCGCACAAGGAGCAGAGCTGATGTGGCGCGGTAAAAAAAAAAAAAACAACAACCAGAAAACAGAAACAGCTAAGACTAACTCAAATAACAACACTATTTATCCGTGGAAGTAACTTTAGACAACATGGAACAACTACACTTCTATCACCTTTGCTCGTTTTGTTGGGAGATAGTTTAACGCGCGCACGACGCGACTGTTTGCGCTCTGATTTTCCAAGTGATGCCAGGTCGTTTCTCGGTGTTACTGGAGTTAATGCATGTGTGATTACCTCCCTGCACCCCGCTGATCGACCTCTTACACCTGACTCTCAGCGATGGTCATTGAGGATCACGTTTCAGCGCGACGCACTTATCCAACTATTGCGCTTTCTGTTTACGACCTTGTCTTGATTTACAGATAACTTTTAAAGCTTGATCGAGACTAAAAAAAAAAAAAAAAAAAAAAAAAACAACCCAGAAGGCATGGTTTTAAACCTCTTCATCACAACATGATCCAGTGAAAGGTGACAGAGGAATCAATCGGGGAAAAACAAAAAAAGATGCTTGGAAGTCCATCCAACAACGGCGGCCTCAGAATGCTCTCGCCCCCAGCCCCGAACGATGACAGGCGGGTAGAGTTCGTGGCGCTCACCGCCGTCCAGACAGAACAGAGCGAGCCTTCCACCCCGGAGCGGGGACACCCTTTTCACCGCACCGGGCTCCTAGGGACCCCGCTGCCGGGGCCCCCAGGACCAAGAGCCAATGCGTCCGCTTCAAGTAAGCGCTTCAGAAAGTTGCAAAACTGCCTTTACAACGTGCTGGAGAGACCAAGAGGATGGGCATTCATCTATCATGCTTTCATGTGAGTATTATTCATATGCACAACAGTAAAAATACAACTTATGAAACAAACAAACAAAAAAAGTTTTCTAAGGCTTTTATTTATTTATTTATTTTAACTGGACTTGCCAATCTAGATAGTTATTACAGAGCAACTATTTGATACATTTTCCAATTAAGCCTCCCAAGTTGCCAGTACTGCAATTAACTGGATCATACTCCATATATCATCACAACAGGGGATCTACTGTTCAATTTCCCCCTGTCTCTGTCTTATTAAATCCTTTGGATATTTAAGTGAATTTCTACAAACGCTTAGGAGATGCACGCTTTTGTATAAAACCCATTTTGTCTTTATAGTTTTAAGCAGAACCAATCCAATTCAGAGAATGATGTTCTGGAAACATTTCTATACATCTGGAAAATATCAAATGAGAGGCTAATGAGTGATAAAAACTTTTTTTTTTTACTTTTTAGAATTTTACAAGAATTTATTACAGGAAGGAAGAAATAAAAAAAAGTAAACACATGTCAAATGTTGTCCAAGCAACTCATCCGATTCAGGGAGTTTGCTATCAGTGTTCTAAAGTACACTCATGCCAAATATATTTCATTTATAAAACTTAAAAACTGTGGAAAAGCGTGAGCTCATAAGGCATGTTATCTTCTGTCATATTTTAAGATTAGTTAGTGAAATATTTGTCACTTTTTCATGTACACAATGAATCTATGCCAGATTTTAATTTAGATTAATTTAATAACAAAACAAACATTGTTGTGTGAGTTAAAGCAGCATGTACTTGTCAAAAGTTTGCTCAGTGCATATTGTTGAAGTGTCTCAATAGATTTCAGCTTCTCTCTCAAATGAAGCTCTGGACTTTTTTGCAGCAAACAGCTGTCTTCCAGCTGTTTCTATGTCTGGCACAAGATGGACTGAGCGTTATGTGTGGGAGCTCCTTGGACCGGGTTGTGCTTTCCGTGTCATTGTTTATACAAGTACAGCTGTCTGCCTGCCAATGCCATCATGTGTTTGTTGCAGAGGGAAATCCCGCTGCAGCGCTGCCTGCAACTCCAACATGTGTTCTCACCAGCTACTGCTAATGCATTTTTGGAAACAGAAACCTCTTTTAACTTCTTTGGAGTTGTTTCTACTCTGCGTTTGTTTTGGGGGTATTTTACAGCAGGTGAAATAAGTATTGAACACACCACCATTTTTCCTCATTAAATCTATTTCTAGAGGTGCTACTGACATGACATTTTCACAAGATGTCGGTAACAATCTATGTAATCCACACATACAAAGAAATCAAACCATAGATGTCCAGAAATTAAGTTATGTGTAATAATGTGAAATGAAACAGGGAAAAAGTCCTGAACACCTTTTCTGAAATGTATTTAATACTTTGTACAAAAGCCTTAGTTGACAGCTTCAAGGTGCCTCCTGTACGGAGAAATCAGTCGCATGCATTGCTCAGGTGTGCTTTTGGCTCATTCTTCCACACAAAATCCTGAACTCTTTGTGGGCCTCTCCTATCAACTCTGATCTTTAGTTCTTTCCATAGATGTTCTATTGGATTCAAGTCAGGTGATTGGCTTGGCCGTTCTAGCAGCTTCATTTTCTTTATCTGAAACCAGTTGAGAGATTCCTTGGCTGTGTGCTTTGGGTAATTTTCTTGCTGAAATGTCCACTCATGTTTCATCTTCATCATCCTGGTAGATGGCAGAAGATTTTTATCAAGAATGTCTCTGTACAGGTTTCCATTTATCCTTTCTTCAATTATTTGAAGTTTGCCAGTACCATATGCTTAAATAAAGGCCCACGCTATGATGCCCCCACCTCCAAACTTCAATGTTGGCATGGTGTTTTTGGGGTGATGTGCAGTGCCATTTCTCCACAAAACATGATGTGTATTATGGAATCCAAAGAGTTCAATTCTGGTCTCATCTGACCAGATTTTTTTTCTTCCAGTATTTCACAGGCTTGTTTAAATCTTTTGCAGCAAACTTTAAACAAGGCTTGCATGGTGAGTGTGCATACAGGCCAAGGTGTTAGATTGCATTACTTATTGTTTTCTTATTGTACCTGCTAATTCTAAACCTCTCCACAAGTAGTGTTCTTCTCTTGGACCACTCTTCTGATAGTTCTTTTCACTTCTCAGTCAGAAATTTTGCGAGGAACGCCTGGCTGTGGTCGAATTTTTGGTGAAATGATGTTCTTTCCACTTCTGGATTATGGCCCCAACAGTGCTCACTGGAACATTCAGAAGTTTAGAAATCCTCCTGCAAACAATGTCATCATTATTTGCAACAACAAGGATGCAAACATCTTGAGGGAGCTCTTTCGTTTTACCCATCATGAGATGTTTCTTGTGTGATACCAGAGACACATTTTAGGCCATCATTTTGGACTGAACCAACTGATATTAATTTGCATTGACAAGGGGCGGGATTGCTTTTCTAATTACTGAGAGATTTTGCCTGGTGCCTTGGCTTTCCATGCCTTTTTGCATCTCCCTTTTTCACATGTTCTATACTCTTTCCCTGTGAATTTCGTATTATTACACTTAATTTCATTTATTTGCATGTGTGGATTACATGGATTGTTACTAACATCTGGTGAAAATGTCAAGTCAATAGCACCTCTTGAAATATATTTACTGAGAAAAATGGTGGCGTATTCAATATTTATTTTACCCACTGTATGTGCAAACAAATATTAAATAAGTGCAAGAAAAATGATACATCCCTTCAAAAATCAACTAGGTCCTCAATGGAGACCAGGAAGGCAGCTGACAGGCTGGGGATAAAGCGTGAGGGAACTATTTAAAGCATGGTTGCACAACAAAAAATATTGCAAACAGACAATGATAGCGTTAATAATAAAAACAGCCAAGAAGCTTATAGCAACACTGGAGGAGCTTTATCCATTGGTCAGATTGGAAAATATGTTGACAGGACAGCTATCAACTGCTCAATCCACAGAGCTACCAAATTTGAAAGTCACAGTAAGTTTCTTTTTTCATTCTTTACTTAAGGACTTAAAGGAATATAGGCGAACATTTAGAAGAACTAGCTCTGCTCAGTAAAGACCAAAATTAAGTGTTTTGGCCCAGATACAAAATGCCATTTAGGAAAACAAGAACTCCATCATGCTAAAATCCCTTCCAAGGAGAGGCAAGGCAGTGGCTGCATTATGCAGTATGGATGTTTTTTTTTAGCAAGGAAAGGAAGATGAAGAGCATACAGGAAGCTTGACATTCCTGGTAGAAGGCCTGCAGGGAAATCCAAAACCGTGATCTAATTGAGAAGACTGGCAAAGTAAAGACTTTAAATTACTGTATATGCTCTCTTGGTGCGATTTATGATGTCTGAGTTTGAGCTATTTTTTAACATGAAAAAAAAACAACATATATTTAACTTCTTCACCACTTTATACTGCCTCATGTTTTCACACAAACCAAATAAAAAACAAAAATCTTTGTAGTTGTAGTGCGGAAAAATGTGTTGAAGGTGTCTGAAGACGATGCACATTGCAAAAACAATCTTGAAATGAGTAAAAATTTCTTAAATTAACCCTATAATGCCAAATGTATCGTATTTGATAAATATGGTTTCTGAAATGTTTTGCATCTGACACCTTTTGCATAATTTAATGGTAAAAACTTTGCTCAAAATCCTATTGTACACATTCAGATATACCTGATAACAGCCAGTAGAAGACTACACAAAAAACAATCTTGACTTATCGCATAGTAATAAATTATTAATATCAAAAATGTATTTCTGTTTTTTCTTTTTACATATTTTGTTAAATATAAGGAATTCAGACCAAAAAAAGTAATTTTCTGTTTTGTTTTATTCTTGGATCGGGCTTTAAAGGGTTAAGTGTATTTAGCCTCAATTTGAGTAGGAAAATAAGATGATTTTTCACTGGAATTAGTATTTTTACTCTTAGAATAATATAGTTAGATAATATGCAGTTGAAAGACAGTGACAACTGTTTTTTCTTATTTTAAATCATTTATTTAGATTTACATTTTTTGCAGTGCATCTGTTCCTCTTTTGGAGAGTATGTCTTTGTGCACTAAATATGTCTTTTTAATTCTTTGGTTTAGATCTGTGCGTTTTCCAGACCTTTGACATCTTCTAACTAAATGTTGTGTTTGATAGCAGCACTGCCGTTGTTGTAATTTCTCAAATAAGGAGGCTCGTGGAGGTGTCCATATCTGGTTTCAGATGCCATAATAGATCTTTAAATCATGTTTGGAGTGAAGTTCTCCTCTAACAGCCTGCTTTCATGTTGCCGTCCTAACCCCCTCCGACAAACACCCAGAGATCTGAACACACCACGGTCTTTAAAAATCCTTGCACTTATGTCAGTTTTTGTTTTGTGCACATCTGTCTACCTGTGAGCGTACTTCCCATGATACCCAATCACTCTGAGTGCTGCGATTCTTTTGATTAATTACATGCTTTCAGTGAGCGAGGAAAATACGGTGTACCGTGAAGTTCAATTAAGGGTATGTTGATCTGTTGTAATTAAATCCAACCATACACTGCTGTGTGGGGTGCTGTACTAAACTCAGCTGATTCTTTAATTAGGCCTACATTGTAACGGGGGACTCTGGAACAGATGTGTTACTTCTATGAGGCCCCTCTTATTGCAAGGGCTTTGTTGGAGTTTGTGTGGAATAAAATTAGGTCCTCTTATCTTCTAATCGAGCTGCTCATACTGTGCCATGTCTTTGGATAACCTAAACACCCTCTCTTCTAAACAGTCCCCATTACATAATTGTAAATATTCCTATCTTCGCCCTCCCATGTGGAGAAAACATCACTTGTTCCAACTTTTTCTTTGGCACACAGTGTAACCTCCTCAAACCTACCCCCCCCCCCCCCCCCCCCAAACACACACACACACACACACACCTTCTTTTCTGTTGATCTGCTAAGACGATTGAGGAGTTTAAAGGCAGAAACATGCTTAAACGTCACAATAGGGTTCTCAGATGGTATTATAAA